ATTACCTTGATCTTTCCCGGAATCGACTTTCCGGGAGAATCCCAGTTGGGTTGCAGAATATGAGACTCAATGTGTTCAATTTGTCCAACAATCGGCTTTCGGGTGAGCTCCCGCCCCTTTTTGCTAAGGAAATTTACAAAAATAGCTTTTTGGGAAACCCTGGTCTTTGTGGAGATTTGGAAGGGTTATGTGATTGCAGAGCCGAGGTGAAAAGCCAGGGGTATATATGGTTGCTGAGGTGCATCTTCATTCTAGCTGGTTTAGTCTTTGTTGTGGGTGTGGTTTGGTTTTACTTGAAGTACAAGAACTTCAAAAAGGCGAACAGAGCTATCGACAAGTCGAAATGGACGTTGATGTCGTTTCACAAACTGGGTTTTAGTGAGTATGAGATATTGGATTGCCTTGATGAAGATAATGTGATTGGCACTGGGGCATCTGGTAAAGTGTACAAGGTTGTTCTAGCCAGTGGAGAGGTTGTTGCGGTGAAGAAGCTATGGAGAGGGAAAGTAAAGGAGTGCGAGAATGACGATGTTGAGAAAGGTTGGGTCCAAGACGATGGCTTTGAGGCAGAGGTTGACACTTTGGGGAGGATTAGGCACAAAAACATTGTGAAGCTTTGGTGTTGTTGCACTGCTAGGGACTGCAAGCTCTTGGTTTACGAGTACATGCCAAATGGTAGTCTTGGTGATTTGCTGCATAGCAGTAAAGGAGGGTTGCTGGATTGGCCTACAAGGTATAAGATAGCTCTTGATGCTGCAGAGGGGCTTTCTTATCTGCACCATGATTGTGCTCCTGCAATTGTTCATAGAGATGTGAAATCAAACAACATCTTGTTGGATGGAGATTTCGGAGCACGAGTGGCAGATTTTGGAGTAGCCAAGGTGGTTGATGCAACTGGGAAAGGACCTAAATCTATGTCGGTCATTGCAGGTTCTTGTGGTTACATTGCTCCAGGTCAGTGAGTAAATTTCTATTCAAACTGCAGATAAAATTCCCTCGAATTTATGTTGTATTCATGTTCTTGTAGAAAGTTTAGATTTTGATGCTGAAATTTGATGTGTTGTGCTCCATCATTCTTGAAGAGAAATGTGTGGTGCACGATATTTGTTCAAAACTCTTGCCAATATCTCCTATCACTTTCATATTGTGTAGTTAAAAATATTATTCTAGTATTCTAATCCTGTAAATGTAATCTTGCTGCAGAGTATGCTTACACCCTCAGAGTGAATGAGAAGAGTGATATCTACAGTTTCGGTGTGGTTATTCTGGAATTGGTTACTGGAAGACTCCCAGTTGATCCAGAGTTCGGAGAAAAGGACTTGGTGAAGTGGGTCTGCACCACTTTGGATCAGAAAGGAGTTGACCATGTAATTGACCCCAAACTTGACTCTTGTTATAAGGAAGAAGTTTGCAAGGTCCTCAATATTGGCCTCCTCTGCACCAGTCCTCTCCCAATTAATCGTCCATCTATGAGAAGGGTTGTGAAATTGCTGCAAGAAGTGGGCACAGAGAAACATCCCCAGACTGCCAAAAAAGAGGGGAAATTGTCACCCTACTACTATGAAGATACCTCAGATCATGGAAGTGTAGCTTGAGAAGTTCCATATATGGCCTGTTGCAAAGCATTGGTTATGGGGGAAGTTTTATATCTAAGCTTTATTTTATCAGTTTTTGAAGCTTTTTTGAAAGCTAACTTCCCAAATCGTTTTCACCCCCCCGTGGGTTTTGATCTCATAGCAAGCAAGGAGGGAAGAGAATATTGAGAGGAATTTCTTATCGAGAAAGCGGGAAGTTATGAGGGGGGGTTAATATTCTATACTGTAAAAATTGATTAACCACCAAAGTTTTTCATCTGCTAAGTTTAAGTAGCTACCTGCAAGCTGCAATGGCAGACCTCCTTGAAAGTGATGTATACACTGTTTAGTGATTGTGATTTGTCTCTGAAATCTCACTCAGGTGATATATGAAATGGGAATTCTGGCATTTTTGAGCAACCCTTGTAGCTAGTTATATACTTTGATGAATTGTGATTTGTGACAATGTTTTGCGATTGTACACCTGGTTTGGTTTGCTGTGTGAGCCTAAGACAATGTTGCAGGTTTAAATATTTTATTTTTTACTATTCTCTGCAGTGACTTTTTTTAATTTAAAAAACCTCCTTTATGATTAGATTACTTTGATTCATTCATATAAGCAGAAGACAGCTATAAGCCTGTCTATTAGTATTAATAAGGTAGTTAGGTAAGAGTTGGCTCTCCTTCCTGGGTCCAATTCCAACTAAGTGAAAAGTGACCCTTGACTGTGCTGCCTCTCATTTTGCTGTAGTTGACTCTAATAGGAAAATGACTTAGGAGGACATAACAGAGAGAGAGAGAGAGAGAGAGAGAGAGAGAGAGAGAGAGAGAGAGAGAGAGAGAGAGAAACCAGCAGAGGAAGATTTAGTTAAGGCTTAAAAAATGGCTCAATCAGAAGGTCTGGGGTGTAACCATAATATGCAAGGGTGGCCAAAGAGGAAAATTTACAGAGGTCGGCTCCTACGGTGAGCTATTATAAGTAGTAGATGCCGACATCGGCCTGGCCAGTCTATTTAATATGGCCCACGAATATTTGACATCGCAGGCAAACCCTATATCTATATCTATATACTTGAGTAGCTTTAAGGGTACACTGGCCAAACTGTGTGTTCCCAGCAAATGCGTAGTAAATTGTGAGTTGTTCATCTTGTGAAGAAATTCCAAATCTGTGTTCCACTTTCAACCTTACATCAATGCGACACTGCCAAGAGGGCCAAGAGAGCAGATGTAGGTCTGTGCAGTTATTAGAGTATATAACTGATCAACATCCCTTCCTAACTTTATTCATCACATTTATTTACTGCATCAATGCACACCCCCACCTCCATTTAGTAAATTTTGCTCTTTTTTTCTACTAGCTTGTTGCTTAGGCAATCCAACTTTAAACCTATTATATTACTATCCATTATTAGTCTAGCGACATTTCTCTTTCTCAAGTTCGATTCCGCCCTTTCCCAACCCGACTTCAGAAAAAAGCGGTAGGCATAATAAACTGACGAGTACATTTACTGAGGTAGGTGTGGTGTGGACCGAGTGGTTGGGGCAGGCTTTGTGAGTGGACTTGCTCTGAGTTTGGGTTAATTTTAGATATAGGTTAGCATTTACAGGTTAGTTAGTAATTAATTCGTGAGTTGACAAGCTAATGCTTTGTTTTAATAATTTAATTTATGAACGATCAATTTCAATGTGCAGTTGTGCATGTTGTGCATGGTTTTACCTGTTACCTTATTATTTAGTTTTAATGGTTGCTTGCTTAGTCAAATTTTAACAAATTCCTACACCTAACATCTACTTATCAGTTCCAACATAAACCCATCAAATTAACACACTTTTCAATCTCATAAAGAAAATTTCGAATTTCCGAAAACCAAAAAATTATTTATAAATCCGCAATGGTTAGTCAATATTTATAAATCTGTAATGATTATTCTTTTACTCTCTTAAAATGGGCCTGATAGAGCCCATAAAATATATCATTTTTACTGGACCATGGGGCCTTCTCAAAATTAGAGTTGATAAGAGCATTTGCCTAGCAAAGTATTTCTTAAATAAAAAAAATATTTTAAGAGATCTCTTTAAATAAAATAAAAAATATTAAGAAAAGGCTGACCTCCACCATGTAAATAATTTTGTTTTGATTGTTTTATGGTCCATTATATTTCTGCTGTCCTAGCAAGATATCTAATTATTCAGTCTTGAATTAACTCTTGGTTAGGTTCTCCTATTTTAGGAAGGGGTTCACGAATTGTTTGGTAAAATCAAGAAAACAAGGGGATAAAATAAAAACGAAAGAAGGAAAAGCTTCTTGACAAGACTGATTTATCCAAGCATTATTCTCAGTTGAAATAATCTTAAATGGCGTTATGGATCAATATCAACGATCTCTTTCAATATGAACACATACTCACTACACTATTTAATGAGATTAAAAGCGTTTTTTGACAACCAAAAGCACTTCTGATTTCGTTTGGCCAAAAAATTTAAAAACGCTTTATGAAGAAGTAGTCTCAAACGAACCTAAATAAGTCATGATGATTCAACAAGTTTGGTATTTATATTGAGTACAAGTTTGTACAATTTTGAGGTATTATTTTCATTGTTAAGTTAATTGTAATCGTCACATGTAATTGAATTTACTAAAAATTCATTTAACATAAACAAATCATCATAGGCACCATCTAATCCTGCTCAAGTTCTGATTGAGAATTTCACTTTCAAAAGCTATACTTCTTGGTAAGCATTTGATACAAATATTCAACTGATTATGGGCTAGCAACCATATAGCCCTTCCTTTCTCACCTGTGCCGCTATCTTTTAACTTTTCACTTGTTTATTTATGCCAAACAAGACAAGAACAAATGAAAAATAATGGATTAGTGGATGACCCAAACCAAATGGATTGGTGAGTCACTTACTGTTTTAGAAATTTGAGATATTTAATTCTCTCAGCTCTTGACATGGCTAAATGTCTCTGTTAGCAGAGATTAAGGATGCAAGGAAGGAACCCCAATCATAAAGAGCTAAGCATGACAAAGCAACAGAATATTTAATTCAATCCCATAATTTATACTTTAGTTTTCCAAAAGTTTTCTTTAATCTATACTTGCAATAAGCTGTGTTTGAAAAATTAGAGGAGGAGGCCAACCATGAACCAACATAACTAAACAAGACCAAGACTTCCAAGTTTCTTACCAATCCACCACAATTTTCAAAGAAGATGCTATCTTTTTCTTTCTCAACTCTTTTCAAAATCTAGTTTATCTAGTTTGTGATCTTTCCAGCTTTCAAAGCCATATATATACATATGTAAGCCTATTTCCACACTCCGCCTTTATAAACTAGCCAACCTCTTCCTCTCTCTTCCCTTTTTTCCCACTCAATTTGATCAGATCAGATCAGAGCAGAGCAGAGCAGCCATTTATAAACATGAACCACAGTGAACATATTGCCTATCTTTTTGTCATAGCCCTCCTTTCCACATCTGTTATTGTTCTTGGAGTTGTCCTTATTCTCCTCCTCCTTTGCAAGAAAAAGCCAGTTCAATCCCAAGAAACAGTGACACCAATCAAGCCTAGTGCTCAGGTGTATCCACTAACCAATATAGATGCTGCCACAGATGGTTTCAATCATCGTAGGATCGTCGGCGAGGGCCGGTTGGGAACTGTCTATGCTGCCATATTTGAGAAAGGGGAGATAGCAGCAGTGAAAAGAATCCATTCTAGGCATGTTTTGAGCAATGCTGGTTTTGGATTTTCAAGAATACTTAGATCAATTTCTTCAGCTCAGCACCCCAATGTGGTACCAATAATTGGCTACTCAGAAGGGCCAGGTGAGAGAATCATAGTGATGGAGTTTGTAGGTATGGTGTGCTTAGATTTCTATCTGCATCAAAACCCAGAGGGGGCATCTTTGTTAGATTGGAACCACAGATTGAAAATTGCAGCAGGGGCAGCTAAAGGGCTTGAGTATTTGCATGAAGGAGTGGCACCAAATATAGTACACGGGTGTGTAAAGGCTTCGAACATTTTGATAGATGTAAATTTTTGTGCAAGGATTTGTGATTATGGGCTTTCATTTTTGGCACCCCAAGAGAAGAGAGGTCTAGTTGGGTATGTGGATGATGAGTATTGGAGAGGAAGTGGTGCTTGCAAGGAAAGTGATGTCTATGGATTTGGGATTGTTTTGTTAGAGCTTTTGAGTGGGAGATTATGTGAGGAGGGGAGGCTTGTGAATTGGGCATTGCCACTGATTAAGGAAATGAGAATTAGTGAGTTTTTGGACCCCGGACTTGTCATTCCTGATGATATTAGGGCTCTTGTCAGATTGGCAAAAGTTGCTTCTGCTTGTGTTGGAAATTCCAGAAAAAGCAGGCCTTCAATTTGTCAAGTGGCCACTATCTTGAGCAACTTGGAGATGGATTGAGTTGGGATTTTCATAGAAGTCAAAAGTGGAAAGCCATGAATTTCTGTTCTAAAAAAGTTGCTGTGATTAGTAAATCATGAGGATTGGGCACCACACCAACCAAGAATTGGAAATTTGGGTTTACACTTATTTTTCTTCATATAATGCATAATGTGTACATTCACATTAGAGTTTCAACATATAGTTTTCACACGTGTGAGTTATAGCTTGCATTGCATATATGAAGGTGGGGTTTGTGGAAAGAAATGTTTGAAATGAGAGGTGGGAGGGACGGTGGGTTTTGTTTGTCTCGTGGGCTGTGAATTTGATCTTTTTTCCGTGTTGATTGAGATCTGTTGGTGCCGAAAGGGACCCGATTTTTTGTTCTCTCTCTTTCAATCAATTTCTCTGTCAAGTGTTTTTTTACTTGTCATTGCTTCATCATTTGACTAAACATCATAGATAAATAAATAAATATATATATATATATTTTTCTTTCAATAATCAAGTGGTCACATTTGTATATTCATGGTATGGTGGTTGGGTGTTCTCAACTGTCACGCTGAAAACTTTATGTCCATTCCATAAATTTATTTTATGTAACATATACTTTGTCTTTTGGCAGCATCTGAGGGGTGAAAAACAAAAAATTTCATCTCTAATCCCCTCTTTTTATAGTTGAGGTTTATCCACCAATTATACGATTAGACAATTAATGTTAATATCCCGCTAGAACTACCGACAAGGAATGATGGGTAGAATGTGACAAAACGCGCGTAAAAAATAAAACAAATTTGAATGTGAGTAAAATGTATCAATTCATTTTTTCAAATATTAAACAAGGGAAAACAATAGTCTTAAACCTTAAGATATCATCGCGTGAACCTTAAGACATCGCATCTTGAATCTCAAATTGTCGCGATGTCGATCTCGTAAGATATTGCTTTCATTTTATGGACTAGGTTGTTTCGTTGAGTTACCCAAAAGAAAAAACTCGTCGATATCTTGGGCCGACGGCCCATGCTACATGTGTAAGATGGACTCAGAGCTGAAGTATTGGGCCTGAGTTGGGCTTTGCAAACTCCTAAGCTAGGGTTCATGGCCAGTGAGCTCGATGTGTCTGGACTAAGAAGCCTTTCCTGAAGCTCCTTGTGGTAATGGCAGCTCAATGGGAAGGAAAAACAATAACAATTCGACAAACAATCCAAAGGAAAAGCCAAAAAAAAAGTTTAATTATTTTTATTGTTCGATGATAAATTAATGATTTATAAGAATATTTCTCACGATCAACATTTATTATTTAATTCCTCCTTAACAACCATATCATCAAGGCTCCTATAAAATAAGAAGAAGAAGAAGTAAAAAAAACTTTTAGTCTTAATCCAAGTCAAGTCTCCTTGTCATCTTCAATTGACGAATTGGTAATTTACATTGACAATTGGTGTGCCTTTTTCAATGTATTTTCATCATGTAATAGTAAAAAGCAATTGCTTCCCAAAAGTAACCCAGATGGTGCAAAAGTCGTTGATTCTGTGCAATTGTTCTCCTTATGAACAGTTTCACTGTATTTTCTTATCCAAAAAAAATATATATATTCATAGACTTGACTATGACCTTAATGTCAGTAGCAGAGCATAAAGTTCCCCGCACACAAGAAATTTTTGAATCAGTAAATCGTTTATACCGTGATGTTATCAATTCATGTGTTATAATATGATATACGCAATTATTGACACGTAAACATATAGAGTATATTAAAGGTGATGTCTAAACAAACGACGGACAAGTAGAAGAGGAGACCCCTTTCCACATCGGGAAACAACTTGACAAAGTCCCAAATCCCTAACCCATACGTTACTGATAACAAAAACAAATATCCCAAAGGGTAAAGCTTCATGCTTAAGCTTTCTGTTGCGTGGCTTCTCTAAGAAGCTCAGATATGTACATGTCGGCTGGTACAAGAAATATACACGCGGGGCAAAGCAATTACCCTCTACAATCATGTCCTTCTCTTCTAGTTGCAACGGCCAGTAAGACAATTCCATCTGGCAAAGCGTTGACGTGGCATATGGCGATTGGTATGGTTAAGTTGCAGCAGTTGGCAATGGAGACGGATGTAGTGGATTGTTTGCTAAAATCAAATAAATAAATAAATAAATAAATAAATAAAAAATATATATATATATATATATATATATATATATATATGACGGTGAAAATCGTAGACTCGTAGTCGTGCAGCCTAAGCCAAAAGTGACATGTCCGCATACCAAATCTCTGATTTATTTGTTGTTAATACATTGAAAAGGATCTGCATAATTAATTTTTCAAAATTAACAAGAGTGACTACGAAATGATTTGCAGCGCGCGCTTGACATAATACATCACAATATTTATAACATTGATTAATTACTGCAGAGACAGAAGGCATTTTTATCAAAAGCTCCAACCACCTCTCCATCTGAACATGTCTTGTTTTCTTTTTCTTAAATATTTGTTTTCTTTCAGAGAGAGAGAGAGAGAGAGGAGAGGGAGACAGTGATTCTTTGCTTGACATAAGAAGTCTACGTGAAGAAAGGGAGAAATGGGGAATATATACAACAGAACAGAGGTTGGTATTTTGTATAAATATAAGTATATGTAGTTTGATTTTGAGTTGGTTCGTATGTAGGTGTCTCTGTGAAATGAAATGTATATATTTATATATCTTTAGGGACACTCTAGGTTGACACTGCAGCTAAAGTCCCAACCCCAACCCCAAACCCAAACCCTATCTCTCTCTCTCTCTCTAAAGAGGTAAAACGTCTTAGAATCAGGTTGCCCCCTCTCCACTCTAGCCACCCTTCTTTTTTTCTTTTCTTTTCTTTTTTGTGTTTTAACAATTAATAGGTTTGTTATTTACTTGTTTATAATTAACTTCCTTAAGTAATTTTTGTAATTTATAATTTGAACACTTGTTTTAGACAGGCAGATTGATACCCCGTGGGAAGAAAGACACAATAAATAAAAATAAAAAAGGCGACCAATTAGCTATAAGACTACATGGATTCTATTGTGCAAGCGTATATACAGAAGCAAAACCAAACTTGACGTCCAAGCAACCTTTGCTATTTCTAGAAAATTCATTCCTCTCTCCGTTCTTTATTTTATAGCTTAGCTAGCTTGCTAACCTTTGTTCTACTTCTCTCTCCTCTCTCTCCCTCTCCCTATCTCATTTTTATGGAGGCGGTTCTTCGCAAAGAGATAATAATATCATAGTAGGAGGAGAAAAAAGATCAAATGGGACAAAGATCAAATTCCAATACTATTATTCCGTCTCAAACATCAATATTCAAGAAGAAGATGAGCAAAAAAGTGGTTAAGGAAAACGTGGTTTAAAAGTGACAAGCTTGGTTTGCTTGTCTGCTTTGCTTGCTTTAAGTGTTTTCAGTTTTTGTTTTTGGGTTTGCTTAATTTTGTGTGTGAGAGAGAGAGAGAGAAAGAGAGGGAGAGGGAGAGAGAGAGAGAGAGTTGTGTGTATTTGGAAGAGGTGGAGGAAATTACAAGAAAGCTTGGGGTTTGGGATGAGCCTCAGAGCAAAAACGGCAGAGAGATCATGACATGGTGCAATGACTCAGACGACGAGAGGGCCATTCAGATTATCACCCCTCCTCCCCCTCCTCCTCCTTCTCATAACAATAACGAATTTCGGAACATAACATGCCCCTCTTGTGGCCACCACATAGAATTCCAAGACCAGGTATTTAAACTTATAACTTATTTTAGTTCTTTGTTGAACTAAATTTTACTTTATATGATTTTTAATTAATTACATGAATTTATTGTTTGGTACTAAGTTTTGATTTGTTTTTGTTTTTGTTTATGTGATGTTTTAGGCAGGGATTCATGATTTGCCTGGACTACCAGCAGGGGTGAAATTTGATCCAACTGACCAAGAAATTCTTCAACATTTGGAGGCAAAAGTGCTGTCTGATACCAGAAAGCTTCATCCTCTCATTGATGAATTCATACCAACCCTTGAGGGGGAGAATGGGATTTGCTATACTCACCCAGAAAAGCTACCAGGTAATTTTTTATTTTTTATTTCATTTTTGGTAAACTTTTTTATTTTTAACCCTATCTAGAAACAATAATGACGACACTAATTATCACGGGCGTCTCTCATTCATTTGATTCCAAACTTGACAGGTTTAATTTCTTGGTATTCATATCGTAATTGTATGGATTGGGACTACTTAACCAAAGATACTCACAGATACTTATTCTATTTTTATTTTTTTGAAAGATACTTGAGATTTTATATTTCCCAAAGAATATTGTTATTATTTTTGGGAGGTATATACGTCTCTATTTTTAGATGTCACAATTGAAACAAACATATAACCAGCACATGGGTTTGCTTGCTTCTCCTTCTTAAATCATTCAATTTGGTATGCTTGTGTTTCTTAACTTTTTCTTTTCAAGCATGTTATTTGCATGTGAATGCATAGAGGTTGGCTATGCATATATGGATCCTAACACCAAACGCAATCGCATATATAGATATAGAGCCTCGGTTCTCTTATATATATAGACCATGTAAACCTCCATGTTAAAATTCCTTGGCTCAATTTGCATGTTAAATCTTTAATTTCCATCGGGTGGTGACACCATTTTATGGACTAATTTGTTCGACTTACCCTTCAAATTGTGTTTTCAATATGTCGATATCTTCAATTTCTCTCAATGTGTATGTGACTTACAAGTTATAATTACAATTCTCTCCAAGTGATAAAAATGCAACACATGTTTTGTTTGGACATCCTGTCTGACGTCCATGCAGGAGTGAACAAAGATGGACAAATCCGGCACTTCTTTCACCGGCCCTCCAAGGCATACACAACCGGGACTCGAAAGCGAAGGAAGGTTCACACCGAAGAAGATGGAAGCGAGACGAGGTGGCACAAGACAGGGAAGACAAGGCCAGTCCTTGTTGGTGGAGCAGTTAAGGGTTTCAAGAAGATCCTGGTCCTCTACACCAACTACGGAAGGCAAAGGAAGCCCGAAAAGACCAATTGGGTGATGCACCAATACCACCTTGGCAACAATGAAGAAGAGAAAGATGGGGAGCTGGTGGTCTCAAAAGTCTTTTACCAAACGCAGCCCAGGCAATGTGGTTCAAGCATCAAAGATGTTCCAATGTTTGATCACCACAAAGGTGTGAATATAAGAAGTGGGCATGGGCATGATCCTCTTCCTATAGCAAAGAAGGCTGGCCTTGTGGAGTATTATAATCCTGGAGGAGGTTTTATTAATTATGATCACCATAATCTTCATAACCAGGGGGGACATAATAGAGAAAGCCCACCTCAACTAATCCCGAATTTAGTTGTCCAAGGTGACGGGTCTTCATTTATTCGATTAACTGCAGATGCAAGCAAAGGAAAGCTTGAGAGAAAATAGTCCATGGGTGGCCCTGGATGTTGGATATTGGATATTGGATATTGGATATGGACGGAAGAGCTTTTTCAGTTGAGGTAGCTTTATATATAGCTAGGGCAGCAATGACAACGACTCTCTCATGGTGGTGGTGGTTGGTGTTGCTGTGTAAAAGTTTTACTACTCATGATGATCAAATAAGTTATTACAAGATTGAGATTTTTTATAACCAAAAAAAAATATTATTATATATACACACAAAATTATATTGAATATGTTTAACTACTTATATTAATATTATACTGTGATCCTGAAGTTTATGATGACCAGTTGATCGGGGATTAGATAGGATAATGATGTTTTTCTTTTCTTTTGGAACTGTACAGACATGATTATACAAACTTGTATATCTAATTTGTCTGATACGACACGTGAGTTTTATCATTAGGTTTATGATTTGCTCTGTGGATTAAGTACTATTCTCTTAAACTTGTACATGAAAGTGCATATACTTTGTAGTAAAACTCCGTTGTTATTGCGGTTGGAGTTCATGGTTACCACTCATCTTGCAGACTTGCTATAATAAAGATATTTATAAATAAATAAAAAAGTAGAAAGGTTTTACATGAAGAAGAAAACCGTGAGGGGAAATACAACTTAGAGTTGTTGGCCAATATTTTTATAATGGGAAATATTTTCTATAAAAGAATTAGATATGTTACAAGACACGTTGTGACTGGGAATTTGAATCTCACATTCAATTAAGCTTATACCTAGTTAAAGAGTCTGATGGGAAAGCATTTCTCATGTTTGATTCATGAGAAAGGAGGTTTGGAGAGGGGAAATCAATTGTTTTTCTATGTTTGGTAAGTCCAGCCATAAGAAATCATTGCTTTGCACATGGGAAAGTAAGGGGGAAAATGAAGTTATCCTCGGTTTTGTTTTCCTCCTCATGGGAAAGTTTGGAAAAATGAGCCAACATTAAGTACACATTTTTCATGACCATAGTGTCCCCATTAACAATTTAGAATTACAATATAGCATTCAATGCAAAAAAAAATTATATTTCATATGGGTATAATCAGCGGCGGATCCAGGAGTTTTTCAGCTTTTGTAGTTTGAAAATTAAATAAATAAGCAGCAGCTCTAAAAAAAAAAAAAAAAAAAAAAAAAAAAAAAAAAAAAAAAAAAAAAAAAAAAAAAATTTGGCATTTGCAAGAAAAAATATATATGCATCTGACTTACTTAGATGCATACACACTTTGATGAAATTGGGTGATGTTAAGGAATTCCCAAAACACAATTAAATAAAGAAAACTCTTAATTAAAACCCAATTAAGTAAGGAATTATTAAAACCCAATTAAGTAAGGAATTAAAAAAAACCCAAGAATTATAAAACCTAACAAAAACCCTATAGAAGCCCATGAAATGGCCCAGCTGGTTCTCTGTGTGTGTTTTTTATATTTTTAAATCCTAGTCCAAAACGATGTCGTTTTGGCTAGGCTTCATTAAAAAAAGAAAAAAGCGCACAGCAGACAGCAGCACAGCACCAGATCTCTTGCGCATTTCATCGAACAGGTTGCGTGCGTCTCTGGTCTGAGCAGAGGTGCCAGCAGCTCTTATAGAGTTTTCTGGTGACCGAAGGTGCAGGTGCACCTCCTTGCGCTTGCACAGGTCCGCCACTGGTATAATTAAAAAATTAAATAAACTTTGTTTTACATTCATACACAAACTAAACATGTGAAAGGAAATAAAGTGATATTTCTTGATTATTTTCCCAAGATTACCAAACATGGGAAACGAGTCTTCATTTCTCATCTCTTGAGAAATGACATGAAAAGTGATTTGTCCTCAAAGTTATTCCGTGAACCAAATGGGGCCTAAGAAGGTGTAGCAGGTCCTGGAAGACCATGGGGACAGACAGGGCAAGGCTGTATACGAGTAATATCTATGACAATGGACGTGCCAAATATTTCACCACGCATGTAGCCATTGAGAGAAAGCAGTAGGAAATTTGTCAAGTATTTCATCATTCATTTTGGTTGACAGAAATTTTCAAAAGTTGAATAAATTGGTTTGATCATGACTCGGTTCTATAATTCCATCAGTCAAAGTATTTCTGCTTTAATGAAATTAGGAGGAAATAAATCATATTATCTGTTTCTGGACTGCTTTTCATTATGAGTTTGCAAAATATTGACTTGAGTTGTTGAACACTCGATATTCAATAACAAATAAAAATAACACTTGTTCAAAAAATAATTGTATGCCAAGCAGCAAGAGCACCAAAAGAAACTAAAAATTATCATTAAACAACACACACAGCACAAAATGAAACTAAACCTACCCGGCACCTGGACTTACAATTCATTCTTCAAACAGCAATACACTACCAAGTTTTTGCCCACAAAACACAAAGAAGTTAGATGACAAACACATAATAGATCGCCATACAGGCGCATGATAGACCACTGCAAGCAACACCAAAACAACATGCCCACACGTGGAATTCTTGGAGGGAGATGAAAATTAAAAAGAAAACATAAATATAGGCAAATTACCGATAGGTCACCTAACGAGCAGCTGATGTCAGTAGCCTAAAACACTAATATTTCAACCATTTTGTAGTTACACTAGAATAACAGATAGTTTTTGCACCAATTCTGGTGAGATCTATCATAAAACCAAACCATCGGGAACTTGAAGCTCTTGCTAGCTAGGTCCTGGACTAATTCAGGGCGACGAGTACCCGTGTAGATTATACATTACCCTCCTGCACAAGAGCTTCAACTGGTCATGACTTCTGAAGCATACAGCTCTCATACAGTTCAAGCCATTCTCTTTTGCTAGCACCAGTTCTCATATCCAGCACTTGGGCACCAAATTATGTTTTGTGAGTTCTTGCTTAATTTTCGTGACAGTGAACTTTCTATAGTCTTCCGAGTTAGTTTGCTGACTGCGGGTATCCTCATCTCCCTTGAATACCGAACCACCATCTTCAGCTTGTGTGCGCTTTAGAGGGCTAGTAGTACTTCTGGACCTCTTATTTACTCTTACAATCCGGTCACTCATCTCCATGTCTTGAACGGAGTCCATGCCCATTTCATAGTCATCTACCCTCGAGCGTTTCCCGTGGGAAGCAGTCTTTAGCTTGCTATCCAGTGCTGTTTCATTCAGCCGAACAGAAGTCAACTCTTGCTGGAGTGAATCAAGTTTTGCCTGTGCAGCTTGTAGCTGAAGAGACAGGGAGTCTGCCCTATTGTTTGCATCTGCATGTGCTGCACGCTCACTGTCCAGGAGGCCTTGAAGGACGTGAACAGTACTAGTTCTCTGCTCGTTATTTGATTTTAATAGTGATTCTATTTCCTTCTCTCTTTCTTCAACTCTTGCCTCCAGCAGAGCAACTTTCGAATGAGCTCCCATCTCTGATACACGAATTCTCTCCAACTCATCATCCAAGTCTCTTTTTTCCCTTTGTAAAGTTTCAATATGCCTCTCAGCCCTCTCAATTTGGGCCAATCTTTCCATTGCCAGCTTCTGCATCTCACTCTTTTCCTTTTGAGCAATATCTGCTTGCGCTCGTGCTTTATCAGCAATATCAGTCGCTCTTGTGGCTTCTTTTTCAGCAATTTTACACCTTTCTTGGACTTCATCAAGTCTTTTTATTTCAGATTCGTACTTCTGCCCCAGATAGATCTTCTCCTGCTCCAGTATCTTTTTTTCTCTCTCAAATGAGTGGGCCTTTGCATTTGCAGCTTCTAATTTTTGACTTAACTCCTTGATTTCAAGCTTCATCGATGATATTTCAGTGTCATAACTGTCTACTTTCGATTTGGCAGTCTGCAAAGAATGTGTAATAATCAAGTACCACACCATTGATAAATACATACGTTGAAAAGAGACCACAAAAGAAAAGCAAACATGTGCAAAATAAGGATTCTTCTTTATCCAAATTTCAATGATTTCCATAGGGCTCTATCTACTTCGGATAATTGATGTTTTACATAATGCCTATGAGCTTTAGCTCAACTGGCATGGGACGGGTGGCTAAAAGGTATAGGTCTTAAGTTCAAATCTGATCTAAGCACCCAAAAAAATAGCAGACAGATGATATGTGTTATCTATACCAAAAAAGCGTGGAAAACAAAGACCATGAAAAACTTCCAAGACAAAAAATGAGGCTCCTGATATAGTAAAATTTAACCCTCCAAAGCTGCTCCATTGAACATGTAAGAGCAGTTTCCCAGGCCAAATATATTTTTCTGACAGAATCACATGCCATTAACCCAACTGCTAACCTCCCAACAGTGTGTATCAATAAGCATACACACAACACTGCATAACCATTTGATGTGGCAATTTATGACACAAGTACAAGATTCTAACCAAATGATGCGGCAATTTATGACATGCGTGTTTTCCACTTGCAAATGGAGGAGAGAGAGAGAGAGAGAGAGAGAGAGAGAGAGAGAGAGAGAGAGAAGGGTACATAAAAGATTCTAACAAAGTGTGAAGATTCAAACTCACCTTCAGTTCTAGTCTTAGAGTTGTCAAGCACTGCTCAGCATATTCAATCTTTGCTGCCTTATCCTTTATTTCCTCCTCCTAAATATTTATCGACAAGGAAAACAAATAAAAATCCATAGGAAACTAGAGAATTGGAGTATGCATTTAGGTGCCTGTGTGTGTGTGTGTGTGTGTGAGAGAGAGAGAGAGAGAGAGAGAGAGAGAGAGAGAGAGAGACAGAAAGAGAGAGACAGAAAGAGAGGATCACCTTCTCAGCCAAACTACTAGCAAATTCTTCCCTCAAAGCATCTTCTCTCTTTTGTGTTTCCTTATTCGAACGTTCTTGGACAATTGCAGCCTTCTCTAGAGCAGCTTTTGCTTCTCTATAAGCAATGTCATACTTGCGTTTCCACTCCTGAGCCTCCTCTTGAGCAGACTGAGCCTGTTCCCGAGCAGCAGCCAGCCTTGCTTCACCAGCACTGCATCGGGACTTGAGAATTGCAATTTCAGAACTAGCTTGGTCTTCCTCAGCCTTCTGCTTTGATATGACCTGTTCGTATTTTCTTTTCCACTCTAAGGATTCTTGCTTTGCAGAATCCAATGTTTTAACTAAGCTAGAACATCTCTCACCCAGTGAGCTGGAATTACTCTGTAAGTTATTAATGCGGCCCATATATTCATCAGCTAACTTCTTCTTGTCATTGATAGCATCCTCATAACGCTTCAGATATTCAGACTTAGACTTCTCACTAGACTCCAGCTGCTTGTTCAGTAACCCCAACTTATCTTCTATTGAGCGGCATCTCAACATGAGGGTACTCTTCTCTGATCCAGCTTGGTCAATCAGTCTCTTGGCAAGGTCAAGTATTGGACCTTCCAAACTGTGAATTTGGATTGCATGCAATAAACATTAATATGCACTCATACATTAATAATTAATTATAAATGGATAAAAATTAAAGACAACAGACAAACCTCTTTTGTAAGAAACTGGTCAGTTTCTGCCATTTTGCGGGACCATGACTTGCTGCTTCATAGTCGGCTAGAAGACCATCAAGAACCTAGAAAACAAAATAACAGTTGAAAAAGAAAAAAAAATTCAATTAAAATGTTAAAGACATCAGGGGCAAGCAACTGTTGCTTACCTTCAGAACATTATCAATATTAGCATCACTAGCATGGCAAGCTATTCTCAGCTTCCTTTCCATGCTTTGTATAGAATTTGAACATTGCAACTCTGCCTCCATATATGCATTCCTTTTACAATCCTGCATGAGTACCCAATTTAAACAAATAAGACTGGTGTACGAGAGATGAGCTAATAAGATATACACATCCATATATACTGTCAACAAACTATTTATTATCACAAAGAATTCAATTATATCTTAGGCAAGAACACTTAAGATTCTGATCTTTTTATTTTGGCAATACAATCTCAAACGCACGTGTGTGGGTGCTTTTGCTTCTAGGTGTGTCTTTGATTCTAAGCGGCCGAGGTCAATTGAAAAACAAATTGTTTTTCCATTCAGTTCTAACTGCGCCCACATCCTACTAAAACTAAAGTTCGTCTTATCTAGTACTCTACCTCAAACTCCTTTTTCAGCTTTTTGTGGAGCTCCGCCTCGTATTTCTTCCTTGCTGAACCAACCCCTACAGCACCATCATTAAATGCAGCCAATGATTTTTGAACTGCCTTTTCATGCGCTTCCCTGAATGCAGCCTACAACATCTGGAATTAGAAACAAGAAAAATCATCAATAATTAAGGCACAATTAACAACTTACTTCTTCGGGATCTTTCGGACGGTGAAAAGCAGACTTATACACCTCAAGAGCATAATCATATGCTGTTCGGCACCCATCTTCTTCGACACTCTGCAGAGCAAGATTAACACAATCACATGATGCCTCAGAAATTTTTAGTCAGAGTTGTTCCAGAGTCAGTTTCTTATCGAACCTCTATTCCGTATGAAGTTTGAGATCCAAAAGGGTTATTTTATTCTCCATTGTTGTAGTTTAAAATGAAAACAGAACATCCACTTCAACATATACTGTCTCCAGATAAGACACAGGGCAACGTATTTATGTAACCTCAATGAAACAACACAAAGAAACTAACCAAGACCAAAATTTATATAGCACATCTAATTCAAGTTGGTTGGTCACTCCCTTATTGGATATTCAAAACTTCCACTTTTTTCCAGTTAGAAACTAAAATTCTGTTAAACTTTTATACAGAAGGAAAATCTTATCATGGATAAAAACTAATAATTTAAAGCCTACTGCAAACCACCCAAAAAGACAGTTCAA